TTGCGAATTAGCTCCCACTGACACACCCCGAACAACCCCAGAAGAAAAAGTCTCAAAGTTCAAATCGGAGCTGTTATCCTTTTTACTCACCACAGTCGGCCGCTCTGATGTCCCGGGGTCCGACTGTGGCGAGGGGCGTCGACGGCGTGAGTGCCGTTTCCTATTCGAAGGCTGGACCGACGGGCCGGGCAGAACACTCTCCGTCGGGTCAGGAAGTGAAGCATGAGTTGCAGGGTGGGTGGTAGCAAGGGGGAGAAGATGAAGCTCGTTCAGAACAAAATTCTGTGTGAGCGGGTGAAGTGAGCTGAGCAACCAGGGGAGACCAGAAACTAAGCGCTGTAGCCGAACAGCTATGCCTTGGCAGAATTCTCTCCCCTCATGCTCCAGCCATAAGTTAATTAATTTGTCTACCGAGTAAATAATGTCCTCGCCCGAGGAGTCAACCCACTCCTCGGGCGGGTTGACTGCTGCTGGGTCCATAGTGGTCGGATCGTACTGTCACGGCTGGCGGGGTGAGCCGTGTGGTGTAGGAGAAAAAGGACCCAAAATGCAGGCAGTGGACTTGTGATGAGAGCGATGATTTATTTACAGAAGAGGAGCGACCGAACAGGCAGTGAGAAAAGACAAATGACTGAAAAAAACCTAGACTGGAAAAACTAAATGACAAACCTAAGCATGAACCAAGAGCTGAGAATGCAGAGCGACGTCGATACACCGAGAAACACAGACGATCCAACGATGAACAGAAGCCAACACACACTATAAATACACGCTAGGTAATGAGGAGATGACATGCAGGGCTGACACTAATGGACATGATGAGAAGCAGACCTACAAAGTAAAACCGGAAACACACAGACTGTTTTGCAACAAAAACGCAGGGACCTGAACAGAGCACACAGGGGAGAGACAGCTGGGAGCAATTAGGCTAACGAAACAGGGGAGAGGTAAAACTGAACACACTGACATAAGACATTAACTTTCAGAATAAAACAGGAAACTAACAGACACAGAGAACCAGACAGGACACTGAACTTGACAGGCAGACTCAATAACACCATGGACAGACAGAGGGAACACAGAGAAGTGGGAGCAGGCAGGCAAAGAACAGAAACCTAACAAATGGCAAAATCACAACAAAATACACACTCGGAATGAACAAAAGCATAAAGAAACACAAAACACTGAGTCCTCAGCCTCAGGACCATGACAAAGAGTTTCAGGTTTCTTCTCTGTTGTCTCCTGCGAGATGAACACACATTCCTTCAGTAACCCCTCTTGAGGGTAATAATCGTAGAATCATTGGTTTACACATATAAATATCTGAGTATCTTGATTGATGACTCGCTCACCTTCAAACCACATGTAAAGAAACTCATGAAGAAACTGAAGTTAAAACTGAGATTTTATTTTCAAAATAAGTTCTGTTTTTCTTTTAATACAAAGACGTTGTTGCTACAACATTTTTACATGTGATGGTAAAAAAAAAGGTATGAGCATGTACAGCATGAAACATGTGCAGCATTACAGGTTTAGTACAGTGGGGCAAAAAAGTATTTAGTCAGCCACCGATTGTGCAAGTTCCCCCACCTAAAATGATGACAGAGGTCAGTAATTTGCACCAGAGGTACACTTCAACTGTGAGAGACAGAATGTGAAAAAAAAAAATCCATGAATCCACATGGTAGGATTTGTAAAGAATTTATTCGTAAATCAGGGTGGCAAATAAGTATTTGGTCAATAACAAAAATACAACTCAATACTTTGTAACATAACCTTTGTTGGCAATAACAGAGGTCAAACGTTTACTATAGGTCTTTACCAGGTTTGCACACACAGTAGCTGGTATTTTGGCCCATTCCTCCATGCAGATCTTCTCGAGAGCAGTGATGTTTTGGGGCTGTCGCCGAGCAACACAGACTTTCAACTCCCGCCACAGATTTTCTATGGGGTTGAGGTCTGGAGACTGGCTAGGCCACTCCAGGACTTTCAAATGCTTCTTACGGAGCCACTCCTTTGTTGCCCGGGCGGTGTGTTTTGGATCATTGTCATGTTGGAAGACCCAGCCGCGTTTCATCTTCAAAGTTCTCACTGATGGAAGGAGGTTTTGGCTCAAAATCTCACGATACATGGCCCCATTCATTCTGTCCTTAACACGGATCAGTCGTCCTGTCCCCTTGGCAGAAAAACAGCCCCATAGCATGATGTTCCCACCCCCATGCTTCACAGTAGGTATGGTGTTCTTGGGATGCAACTCAGTATTCTTCGTCCTCCAAACACGACGAGTTGAGTTTATACCAAAAAGTTCTACTTTGGTTTCATCTGACCACATGACATTCTCCCAATCCTCTGCTGTATCATCCATGTGCTCTCTGGCAAACTTCAGACGGGCCTGGACATGCACTGGCTTCAGCAGCGGAACACGTCTGGCACTGCGGGATTTGATTCCCTGCCGTTGTAGTGTGTTACTGATGGTGACCTTTGTTACTTTGGTCCCAGCTCTCTGCAGGTCATTCACCAGGTCCCCCCGTGTGGTTCTGGGATCTTTGCTCACCGTTCTCATGATCATTTTGACCCCACGGGATGAGATCTTGCGTGGAGCCCCAGATCGAGGGAGATTATCAGTGGTCTTGTATGTCTTCCATTTTCTGATGATTGCTCCCACAGTTGATTTTTTCACACCAAGCTGCTTGCCTATTGTAGATTCACTCTTCCCAGTCTGGTGCAGGTCTACAATACTTTTCCTGGTGTCCTTCGAAAGCTCTTTGGTCTTGGCCATGGCGGAGTTTGGAGTCTGACTGTTTGAGGCTGTGGACAGGTGTCTTTTATACAGATGATGAGTTCAAACAGGTGCCATTCATACAGGTAACGAGTGGGGGACAGAAAAGCGTCTTACAGAAGACGTTACAGGTCTGTGAGAGCCAGAGATTTTCCATGTTTGAGGTGACCAAATACTTATTTGCCACCCTGATTTACGGATAAATTCTTTACAAATCCTACCATGTGAATTCATGGATTTTTTTTTCACATTCTGTCTCTCACAGTTGAAGTGTACCTCTGGTGCAAATTACTGACCTCTGTCATCATTTTAAGGGGGGGAACTTGCACAATCGGTGGCTGACTAAATACTTTTTTGCCCCACTGTACCCTTGGCTTGGAGAGAACTGCAGAACAACTGGAAAATGACTGAATTCATTTCATTAAGTGATTTTAATTCAAAACTAGGCCAAGTCCATAACATGCAACTGTCTTTTGACCCAGTGTTTTGTGTTTTCTATTATTGTGATGTTGGTTGTGGTTTTCAAGCTCTTTGGTTCTGTTCTTCCTCAGTTTGGTGTTTAGTCATTCCTGCATATGTGTTCCTCTGTGTAAAGTCTGAGTTTCTCAGTCTGTGTCTTTGCATGTGTCAGTCCCTGTTTTATTTTGAAGGTCAGTGTCTCAGGTTATTGTATTCTGTTTTACTTCCCTCAGTATCGTCAGCTCTGATTTCCCCCAGCTGTGTCTCCCTCCTGTCTCCCAGTCCCTGATTGCCCTGTGTGTATTTAAGCCCTCTATTTTCTACTGTTCGTTGTTGTTTCGTCTGTGTGGTTCCCCTGCATCTCCGTTCGTATCTTAAGGTTTCAGATATGTTTTATGCTTAGATTTCCCTGTTTAGGTTTTGTTAGTTCTGTTCTCGCCACCCTCGCCTTTTGTTGTATGTCATTCTCCTCAATAAAGCTCACTCACACCAGAAGTGTCTGCATCTTGGGTCCTTCAATAATTCCCACACGGCTTGCATCGCAAACCGTGACAGTTTCAAATAGATTGTCATTTTAATTGAATTTTTTTTTTCTTTTTTTATTTTGCATGTTCTGTTGCTGCCTGTGTTTAATTGTATAATTTTTGTAACCGTGCTGCTGCCTATCTTGACCAGATATCCCTTGAAAAAGGGGATCAATGGGATCTTCCTGGTTAAATAAAAAAACACTGAAGAATGGCTCTAAGAGTTTCACTGTTGACAGTTTCAGATCTAGTGTGCCTTTTCTCTCCAACGATGTGAATAAAATCAGCATTAGCTCAGAGTAGGTTAGTTAAGTATAATTCAAGTTTATTATAATCATTTTGCTTTATTATCATTTTTTATTCTGGTTTGCTAAACTGCTTTAATAAAATATCCTGCTATTAAGGTCTAAATTGTGAACATTCAGTTTTTAACTTAATAGTATTAGTTGTAGTGTAAATAGCTCTTAGATGTTACTCCAGCATTTTAAAATATAAGCCTCTTGGGGCCGACTGTCCAGGCCACTAAAATGAACCCTGTAATTAACAGCTAAACTGGTAAATTATCTAGAAGGGAACAGGTGTGGCAGACATAAACTGCACCTGCTCTCAGGACCACCATTTCCATATCAGAGGCAGGAAAGACACCTGGATGGCCTTGCAGCAGTTTGAGCTGGGCAAGTCCTCTCACCCACATTGGTTCCTGTATATGGGTGCTGGCTCTGCAGGGTGACAAATTTTTAACAGTGAAAAATGACTTAAATCATTTTCTGAACAAGCTCTTAAAGTCATTCAGTTTAGTTTTCAGTTGTTATAGATTTGTATTATCCACATGCATTCTGACAAATTAAGAAATTGGTGTGGGGACTTGTGTTTTACTTTTAACCCAATCATGATGAAGCTCAGTGTTTAGGTGCTCACCAGTGTTTCTAATATTTTGTCTACTACACATATACAGAGACTAGAATAACTCACCCGGTGTTATAATGTGTTGTTTAGTACATTGGAATCTGTTTTTTAAGGGTCATAAATAACGCTAATGCTGCATTTTATTAATAATAACAGAATGATGGTGATAAACAGAGTTCATAACTGTATTATTATTGTTGTAGCTCCTCACTTCGACCACTGGAGGGCAGTGAACACAATATACAGTCAACACGAACACCACAGAGCAGTTTCTCTGCTTATCACATGACATCATACATTCTGCATAACTCAGTATTTATTATGGTGGAAGATACGGCATGGTGATATAATATAGCAAAACCAATTTCATTATTTGATCTGATTTTCACAAAATGTTGACATTAAAAATTAACCAAATAATTAAAAAGCATCATAGCATCAATCCAGTAGCTCTTCTCCACGGTACACAGTTTATGAAAAATAAGATCACACTTGTTTCTGTATTAATGTGATGAGGGGAAAACAGTTACTATGTTGTTTCTGCTCTGATGAGAGGAAATGAGTCTTGCTGAGGCATCTGGTACACAGATCAGCTGTACCAGGATGCTGTTCACTGAAATCAGTCAAATTGAAATCAGTGAATGATTCTGTAATTGTTTAAAAAAAAATATCAAAGCTTGTTTGCACACTGCAGCTTAAAATGTAACTAGTAGCTACTTTATTTTATAGTAATCACACTGATATGTTCACACCCAGAGCTCTGTTAAACACCCTCTGAGCATCATCAGCAAGCTGGTTAAGGAAATAACTCAGAGTGAAGTAGGTTGTTTTAAAAGAGAGGCTCATTGATGCTGCAGTTACAAATAGGAAAGAATTTCTGGATACTTTCCCAGCTTTACCTTGAACTGAGATAAACGTTTCCATGAAGAACTCTGCAGGTATTTTAGCCAGTTCTGACTTGATGACAGCACACAAATCATCATATGACACACCTGAGCTGGCAGCAAGTTTCTTCAGAGACTGCTTATCAAGACCAAACCCAGTTACATAATCTGTGACAACTGAAAGCATCATACTGTAATCAACATTAACAGACAGCTCAGGAACTGGAACAGCTGCTCCAGCTGCAGACAGAGTAGAGTAGTATTTTATTGTGGACTGAAAATCTTTCTTCTTGTTGCTGATCTCCTGGTTGATGTTGGACATGGCACGCAGCAGAGCATCACTCTGGTGTGCAGGAAGTTCTCTCTCTAAGGTCTGTTGTAATTCAGAGAATTCATAAATGTGAGGCTCAAAGCTGGACACCAGGAAGACCTGTGGAGACTCAAAACCTTCTTTCTGAAGACCTGTGTTATAAAAGATAAAAAAACAAAAAAGGCTCAGAGTTTAACTTTACTAACTTAATAAACAAAGAATGATGTTCACACTTGTTTGCACTGAGGTATAAAGAAGAGAGAATGAAAAAAAAAATTATTTAAACAAATACAAGGTAAGACAGAGTTCTGTGAAGGCTCTCAGTCATCCAGGTCATGGTACTCTAAGGAGCTTGGTAAGAAAAGGGTATGGACTTCTTTAGGTTTCTTGAAGATGTTTCATCTGAGAAGCCTTTTCAGGGCAAATTGATGGAGAGTCCCAGATTGTTATGCCTTATTGGGAATGTCCCTAAGAGGGTCGCTGACCCACTAATTTAGAGAATTCATAATAGTGAGGCTCAAAGCTGCACACCAGGAAAACATGTGAAGACTTGATGTCTACATCGGAGTCCTGTTTTACAGAAAATACATGCTAACATGAGGGGGAAAAAAATCAAACTAAGTTCTGAATATTTTTAAATAGTAAATTCACAAAGTGATATTACTTTGGTAAAAATGATTAGATAAGAAACTCACCTTGAACAGAGTCGTCTCTGATTTTTCTAAGAGTCCCCTCTTTACTGAAGTCTCTCTTTCTTTCCTCATCACGTATGTTGTTGTCGATCTTTGAGCGAACAAAGTAGAACTTTTTCTTCATCTTCTGAATCTCCTTTGCAAGTTTCACGTCATTTTCTCTGAAGCGATCAGCTGAGACGATGATGAAGACGTCAAAGTTCTCAAATCCAACAAGCTCCAGGTACTTCTTAGCTGGAAACTTGGTGGTGCCGATTCCAGGAAGATCCCATAAAGTAACATTGGGATAGTTTGGATGGAGGTACTCTGTGACCTCTGAGGTGGTTTCCACAACACCAGTGGGTGCAGCGCCCTCATCTTCATCACCAATGCTCTTTATGCCTCTTAAGGCACTAACAAAGGTGGATTTACCAGATTTAGATTCTCCTGTGATGGCGATTTTTAGTGGAATATTATTTGGTTCTTTTGAATATCTTTGAATCTTTTCTACTGCTGCAGCAGTGTCATTGGTCAGATCATGTTTAACTGAAGCAAGTACAGCCCCCATGTGGACCCTTAAATAAAAGAAAAAGCAGTTAGAATCACTGCACTCTCATCTCTGAATACAGATGATATCATAAATCCTTCATCACCATATAATCTTGAAAATTTCTTCGTCTTTGTTTCCAGCTGCTCTGTCACATTTTCAGACTCACAGGCAAAGAAAGTATGAAACAAATCAAACATGACACTCTGAATTTAAACAGCTAATCTTTGATTTCTTCCAGAAACTGATCAGTGGAGCAGAAACTCAGTCCTAACTCAGACTTTATATTTAAATGGAGACCAGAGAGCATGGGACCATGAATCTGTGCGTTTGACCTGATACATGTGGTTACCCCAGTGTGTATGGATTGCAAGGAGTGACAAAATTAATTAAATACGCCTTTATGTTTCATTAACATATTAAATTTGGAATTAATTCATTATTTAAATTTATTTAATGAATTAAATGCTCATTCATGTCATTTAAAACATTTAAATTATTTATTTCCAATGTTATTTAATGAATTTAATTATATACATTTAATTTTATAATGATTAATTATTGAAACATTTAATTATTTATTTTTTCACATTTTAATTAATTACTGACACATTTAATTAACTATTTAATTTAATACACCACTCCTGGCCCTCCATACAGGTGAGCCTCCTGATGTGATGGAAAGGTACTTTATGCGTACTGTGACCCCCCCCCAGGGAGCTGACCAGAAATCTGAAGATTTTCACTTGATTAATAAATATTTTCAAGTTATTTCAAAAGAAACAATGTTTGATATGACACTAGGGTTTCCAACTGTCCCGTCGTTTTAACCGGGACATCCTGTAAAATGAGCAAAACTGGTTCGTCATATATGTGACCAATTGTCACATATTGACCGTTACCTGCAATGTCACAGTGCATATTTACACTATGCTGAGCTGGTTGTGCATTGTGCTTCTGGTATGCCAGTGTGTCCCTTATTTAATAATTTAACAGTTGGAAATCCTATGTGTGCAGGGTCAGTCCAAGGACAATCAGTTAGTGCTTATTACTTGTGTTTCTCTACACATTTATAAACATTACTACAAACGCGCAAGATTTTGCTACAGTAATAAGAGCCCCATGGTTAGCGTCACTCTCATTGTTGTGTGAAAAGCTTCATATTCATCCTTCAGGTGCATCTAGATCCGTAACAGGTGTGCAGGTGTTTTCTTTGACCGATCGCGGAAGTCGTCCATGTAGAGTCGACTGCAGAGATTCACAGCTCACAAACTCAAAAACCAAAACAAAGAAACCCAACAAAAACTGTAGCACCGATGTGTTCAGATTAAGGAAAGGTGGAAAAAAAAACACCACAGGCTGAAATTTGAGTGAATTTAATTTTGCAGACAGAAAGTTTCATACAGTGGTGGAGGTCTACCTGCGTGTGACGATGGTGGAGCGATGATGAGTGCAGAATGCAGCAGTAGTGCAGCCTTGTATTCGTGGTGGGCGGAGTCATCCAAACGTCGATCGTACCAGTGCCAACGCTCGTATTGGTATCGGATCGATAGTAACACGATAGGACTGTTTATCTCCTGGAAACTCACTTCTTTGCTCCCGGAAGCATGCCTGTGGAAACGCCTCCTCTCAAGCAGGACCGCAGTCAAGCCAGCCGCCTCTTTTCAGCCGCATTAATTTTTTTGCGCTTCTACACCGCCCTTTACGGCAGCGCCTTTTCTCCTTATTTCCCGATCAAAAGCATAGACCCGCGCACAAGTACACGCGCGCGCGCACTCACACACGCACGCCCTCGCGTACAACGCTTTGGGGCAGCCCAATACAGCCATCGGGAAAGTCTGGTTGCATATTCAAAAATTCATTAAAAATCAGTCTTGGTAGTTGATGTCCAACTTTCAACACAATCCTCCTCCTGGATACCTACTGTACCTCTGTGCCAAGTTTCATCTCAATCCGCTGCATCAATAATTGTTTAATATTAATGGATCAAAAATGCTGCTGAGAGAGTCATGACAGGGACTATAAAGAGACAGTATATTTCAACCATATTTTCTTGTCTTCACCAGGGGTGATTTTAGCCCATTTTGGGGGTGCTTTGAATCATTTTGGGGGTGCTGAAGCAAAAATCCTGTGTTTTCCTGGTTAATAGTTTGTTCTTAGGTTTAGTTCAGGGTCTAGTCTGTGGTGGTTATGCTTCCTGTTTTACTTTGAAGGTCCGTGTCTCATATTATTGTGTCCAGTGTTACTCTCCCCTGTGTTGTCATTATGTTTCATTTGAGTCAGCTGTGTCCTCATGTGTCGCCACTTCTCCTGATCACCTCGTGTGTATTTAAGTCCTCAGTCTTCCTGTGTTCAGCGTTGCGTTGTCTGTGTTTCCTCCTTTCATGCATTCATAGTTATCATAGGTCCTCTGTATTGTCTCTGTTGGCTCACTTTTCTCAGTTTTTCCCGGTGTAGGTTTTCAGTTAGCTCTCACCCATGTTTGTCTTCGTTTGAGTTGTATTGATGTTTTCAGCCACAATAAAGGCTCGCTTTTGGTTTGCGACTCAAGTTCCGTCTCCTCGCCTCTGTCTGCTCCTGCGTCCACCTCCACTCGGTCTGCCCCACAGACCGTGACAGGGACAAGATAACACGCAACATGTTTTTAAAACTTTAAGCACTTATCTCCAAAAGTTGATTCTGGACGTAGCGTTTTGTGGGAGAAACATTTCATCATCATCCAGGTGACGTCTTCAGTCTCAGCTGACTGCAGGTTTCAATCTTATAAACAGTACATTTGCATAATGACTGAAACCAGCCCACTGAAGGAACAATGGGCTGTGAGGTCAGTTCCTTAATCTTAATTATGCAAATTCTCATGACCATTGATCAACAACCACTGAAAACCTGTGTTTTCCTAAACACACATTGGTCTCTTTTCTCTCTTAACATAACATCTCATGTTACTTTTATCTCAGTACTGTCTTTTTCTCACAGTTTCATTATCCTTACTTCAAAGCTTCACTTTATTCTCAAGAATTTAGTTTTACCACTACTGAGCCAATTTGATAGTTAAGCTCATCCACTCAGCGAACAGATAATTTAAAATTCAGCCAATCTGCACAAATTTGCTTTTTGAACAGGTTTGTGCTTACCTTTAAATCTCTTTAGACCGGTCTTCTGTTCGCCTCATATCAGATCCAACCTTCGGCCACATTTGTTCTTTCTGTCACACGAAGAACCGGGCGGAAACACCAAATATTAACCCCGATTCTTTTGTCCCCATGATAGAACAGAGAAAACCGACTCATAGTGTGTTAAAACATTTATATTTCTTTTTATTCAATCATCTTCCGGAAGAGAGAGACCCCTGCACAGCTCAAATGCCAGTTGTAGATCTCTAGCATTAGAAGCCAAAATGTGTATCATATAGGTGTTATTTTGGTCCTTTACACAACTCCTCCTGACCTGACTTGGGGGGTGTGTGTGTGTGTGTGTGTGTGGGTGTGTGTGTGTGTGTGTGTGTGTGTGTGTGTGTGTGTGTGTGTGTGACGTAGTTCTGCTTTTTCTGTCTGGTTTCCTGTTCTTAATATATTGCCTCTGCACTTCCTGTATATTAGTCTGGCTGAACACTTGGTTTATGAGTCAAAGCTTTATACAGGCCTTTATTATTAAAGTACATAAAACAATATAATCAGAAAATAAGTGTGACCCGTGGTAGGTACCTATTTAAAATAGGACAGAGCCGTAGGCGCACAGTCAGTTTAAAAGAGTTTAATTTTTAATACAAACTAAAAGAAACAGTGTAACAGCAGCACCTAAAAACAATTAAAAACGTTACCTTATTAAAAAACAATAAAACTGTGCGATTGCCCGTGAGACGGGACAAGCGCTGCGGGGAACCGTTTAAAAACAAATCGACAGAGCACACAGGTTAAACATGGACGGCAACTCACACATAACCCCAAATGGGTAAAACACTATAGAAAAAAGTCAAATCTTCAGTGCCGTCTTCACTCGGGCCCACCGCTGTGCATGCAAAAGCGGGGAGACAAAAAAAGGATTTGTTTTCCCTGCAGCGCCTCCACCGTCTGCGACAATATCCATATATATAAATATATAAAGGGGTTAAAATACTAAAAGGATCAATATCTGTGGTGCCTACTGATACAGAAAAAGTAAAACCAAAAACCAAAACCATCGACAGCCGCAGCAGTCAGTCTGTCGGCTTACACCAGTTTAAAACAAATTAAAACACACTGATGCGTCGGGTCCTTTGCCCGCAGCCGGAAATCCACCTGGCAAAGCAGCAGCTCGGTACTCTGTGAATAAAAGACAGGAGATCACTAGCTGGACAATAAAACACAGGAATATTCCTCCACTGAATTGGTTTTGTTACCTGTCCACAAGTTCGTGTCACACCCTAATAAATGTGGGTCAGTGGCGATGAAGTCCACTATACCGTTCTCACGGGAGCAATGTTTCCCACCTACAAGGGTGCAAATAACTGTAAACCTCTGCCAACAGCCAGAGCTCAAGTGGTACATTTTTGTGTAACCTACCGTTCTAACAGAAGTTTAGGGGAAGGACGCATATCAGACTTTCATAGTAAAGAAACACCAACTTGCCCAACTCGGACCAAGCACTCGCAGCTTCAGGTTTGCAAAAGGAATCCCCAATTGCCCACACCTGCGCTTATGAAAGGAGCGAAGACCAGCTCCGCCCACCAGGGGCGGTCCCAAATCTCCAGGTCTCACCTGTCACATTCTCCCCCTGGTTTTTGCATTGGCGACCCGACAATGAAACCTTAAAGCCACGGTCTATAAAAAGCTGTAACTGAATGTACACTAGGTGGCCTGGCTTCAGCTGATTGGGGCAGATGGTGTGGATTGGAATGGTGGCCAGCTGTTGAGCGTGTCGTTCTTCTAACTGTACCACTTTCAGCTAATGGAGTGGGGACACTACACTGTGGAGTCAGGGTACCAGGATTAGTCCTTCTGGACTGCGGCCTCATTACTATAGCCAGGTCCTCTGGGAGTTGTTGGGGAC